TAGCCAAGATATGCAAACAACTTAAGTCTCCAATGATGGATGACTGGATAGAGAAGATATAGCACATTGGTATACATACTGAATAGACTATTACACCGCTATTTAAAAAAAAAAATGCAATCTTGTCATATGTGACAACATGACAAGACTGGAAGGAAGTATAATAAATAAAATAAGTCAGAAGGAAAAAGGACATACAGCAGATACTTTCATTCATTTGTGAAAAATATAAAGAAACAAAGCAAACCAAAACCAAACCAAACCCTTGGAATTTAACTGCAAAACTGAACTGCAGAGGGGTGCCCTATGAACTGTCATGGAGGCTTAGTGGCTCTGTAGTGATGGAGGTGGTGTGCTAACGTGCATTTGAAGAGGTATGAATCTGTACTCCGAATACATAGAAAGTGTTGCAAACCAATGTGTGACCTCAACAAAGAAAAGATGAAAATGTGGGCTTGAAGACTGATAATTCCAATTGCAGAAAGGGATTTAAAGGCCATGCTTTGCGTGAATTTGCACTCCCTATGCCTTGAAAATGAAAGTATCAAGTATCGTAATACTAAGCAGTTAGTATCTATAGAGAATTTTTTTCATAAAATAAAAAGTATTTTAGAAGCAAAAGGAAATCATTTGATTCTGCTAATTTATATCTGTTAAGGGCATTACAATATTCTCACTCAAAATTAAGACAGATTTATTTTAAATTTCTTCACTTTAAGTAACGTATAATTTTTATAATAAAGATATAGTCAACTACTTTGTGTAAGATATGTCCAATTGTAACATTAAACAACACAAAATAAAATAGTAATAGGAACACAGGCCTTGTAGAGACCAGGTATCTTGTTTCAATCTTGTGGTTAGTAAGTGGCAGAACTGTGTTTGAAATTCAAACTCTCCTGTGGCAAGGGCACCAAATACTTGATGACTTAAAATTCTCCTAAACACAGTGGCCCATGTAGCAAGGCAGGGCTGCAGCATTTCAGTAGCAGTAACATATTATCAACCAAATGAGCTTACCAGTCTAAAAGCTAGCTTTCAGTTTCAACTTTAATATACAGGTTGCAAATCAAATTAAAAAAAAAAAAAGCATAACGTGGCAAACATTTTATGATCAGGAGTTAAAAGGCATGTACAGACCTACTGATGATGATGATAGTACTACTAAATAAGTCTTTCCTAACATTTTCTCTATAAATAGTCTCTAAGTCATGACACACCTCTGATGTGATATAGTCTTTAAATCTCACTAAAACTGGCCCGTCCTACTTAGATAAGACAAAGTCCTAGAGAAGTAACACATTGTAACACTATATTGCTTAGTGGAAATTTCTTGTTGGGTATCATTAAAAAAACTCTTTGTGATCAGTTTATAAAAATTCTTCTTATTACTGTCTGCTTTCCTGCAAGTCACATAACACATAAATGTGTATATTAAAACATGAAGCAATTATATCAAAGTGTTAGCATAGGCCAGAGGTAAGGATATACATGAGAGTATCCATAGAATATTTTGACCTTCTACATGGTGATTTAAGTTTTCTATTTTTAAAATAAGTTTCTGACTGTACCCAGTGCTTGTATAAATAAATAAATCTTAAAAAAAAGAAATTAAAATAATAGCACATACCCTATTTACATCTTGTGAAAATCTAGTAAAAACTTATGAAAGTTCTCTGAAAACAGTTATTCTATAAATATACAATATTGATAATGTTATTAACAAATACATTAAGAACCTTATAAACTAGCATAGCAAGGTCAAGAATTGATAAAAAGTGCTCTCAGGGGCCTCCCTGGAGGCTTGGGGTTTAAGTCTTAGCACTATCACACTGTCACCACTATGGCCTGAGTTCCATCCCTGGTCAGGGAGCTAAACCACACATGGCACTGCAGACCTCTTCTGTCTTGCCTGATGCTCCCCTTAGCAGTGTATTTCAGTAGGTCCACCAGTTCTGCTCCCCATTCTGTCTCTGGTGAATTCTCTCACTCCAAGCCCCCCCACACACATATCTCTGGCCTCCACCCCAGCTCTTTGATGCATAAATAAATAAATCTTTTTTAAAAATTTAAAATAAAAGGGCCTCCCTGGTGGCGCAAGGGGTTAAGATGCAACCTATGAAGCTATCCATAGCCACTGAAGCACGAGTTCGATCCCTAGCCACGGAGCTACCACATGGCGCCGAAGACCTCTCCCGTCTCGCCCACTGCTCCCCTCAGCAGTGCACTTCAGTCAATCTGCCTGTTCTGTTCCCCACTCTGTCTCCGGTGAATCTCTTCACCCCCCCACACACACACCTCTGGTCTGTACTCCAGTTCTTGTATGCATAAATAAATAAATATTTTAAAAAATTAAAAAAAAATAAGTTTCTAGAATAAAACAAGAAGATTTTTGTAGTTGTGCTCAGAAATACAAAATATTGAAATGCATCTTGAAGAAATTGACCCATATGCTTTCAAATTTATAGTGATTGGTAGATAGATGACATAGTTTTAACATCCTTCTTATCTGACAAATACATGGGCAAAGAAAAAAATGTCAGCAAAGGCGTCTTTTAAATAGATTAGATTTCTGAAAAATCCTTTAGTCATTTTATAGAAAAGAACACCACTCAAACTTTTCCTAAGATAATATCATTTACTGTCTCTAAAATAAAATATTGGCAATGGATTTCATTTTACCTTTTTTCAGTACTAGTTGAATGTGAATAGGAAAGGGGCTGGGCTAAGAATGCAACAGAAGAATACAAAAGTTGGGAGCTATTAGTAAATTTATCAGGGGGTTCTCTGTATTTTAAGGGCATTCCAAATTCAGTTTGACAGATTTATTTGAGCTCTAGATAGATTAAATAAACGTGTTTGGAACTCAAACTTTCTGAGGTTCAAGTATGAAGTACTGAAATTAACACTCCAGGTTCCTGCTAAAAGAAAAAGTACATTACCAGTAACTATCACAATAACCCACAAGATTAGGAGACAATAGATGACTCATGTGGGAGGTAAAAATCTACTATGCTAAGACCTGAAACCATAAAATATATAGAAGGAAATATAGGCGAAACACTACACGACATACACGGGAGTAACATCTTTAAAGACACATCACCCAAAAGGGTGATAGTGAAGGCAAAAATAAACAGCTGGGACTACATCAAATTAAAGAGCTTCTGTACAGCAAAAGAGACAGTAACCAAAACAAAGAGACACTCCACCGATTGGTAGAAAATTTTTGCACACAACACGAATGATAAAGGACTGATCACAAAAATCTACAAAGAGCTGATGAGATACAACATAAACAAAGTAAATAACCCAGTCCAAAAATGGGCAGAAGAGCTAAAAAGAAACTTCTCCAAAGAGGAAATGCAAATGGCCAATAGGCATATGAAAAATGTTCAGGGCCTCCCCGGTGGCGCAGCGGTTGAGCGCTGGGTTGCGAAGCTGCCGGCGACCTCTGCAGCGCAGCGGTTCGATCCCCAGCTGCTCCCCGGCCACCGGAGGAGGGTCCCACATGGCGCGCAGACCTCTCCTGCCGCCCGCTGCTCCCCTCAGCAGTGTACTTCAGTCCTTCTGCCTGCTCTGCTCCCCGCTCTGGCTCTGGTGAATTCTCTCGCCCTCCCGCGCTTCTGACTGTACCCAGTGCACGTATAAACAAAACAAACAAACAAACAAATAAATAAATAAAAACATGCCTCTATAAATAAAAAAAAAAATGTGTTAAAAAAAAAAAAAAAGTTCAGCATCACTTGTAATCAGTGAAATGCAAATCAAAACTACCATGAGATACCATCTTACACCAGTGAGAATGGCACATATTAAAAAAACTAACAACAACAAATGTTGGCGAGGATGTGAAGAAAAAGGAACTCTCTTGCACTGCTGGTGGGAGTGCAAACTGGTCCAACCACTATGGAGAGCTGTGTGGAGATTTCTGGACCTACTAAACATAGAGCTTCCATATGATCCAGCGATTCCACTCCTAGGTATTTACCCAAAGGACACAGAAACATAAATTCAAAAGGGCACCTGCACCCCTATGTTTATTGCAGCACTATTTACAAGAGCTAAGCTTTGGAAACAACCCAAATGCCCAAAAATAGATGACTGGATCAAGAAGATGTGGTACATATACACAATGGAATATTACTCAGCAATCAAAAAAGATAAACTCATGCCTTTTGTAGCAACATAGATGGACATGGAAAGGATCATGCTCAGCGAAATAAGCCAGAAAGAAAAAGAAAAATACTGGATGGTCTCACTCATAGCAGGAATTTAGAAGACCTAAATAAGGGTCCAGGAAAAAGACTAATTATGATAAAGTCAAAATCAAAATCAACAAGCAATTGTAAACCAGAGACACACTATAGGGGCAGGGGAGGAGGGAGTAGGATCAAAACAAGGAGGAGTGGGAACTGTATGGGGAATTAAACCAAGATGAAATGCATACATTGTGCAAAAATGAAAAACGATGTTAAAAATATATAAAATTAAAAAATAATAAAAAAATCTACTGTTATATACACATATTATAAACAAAGACAAAAGAGGAAGCTTAAGATATAAGCAGTTGTGTCAAAGCAACTGTGCATCATGTTGAATATAACTCTTACTATATGCTGATTTGCCTACACAATCACATTTCCAGCAAGTGATGACTCAGAAATAGCAGAAGAGCCATCCAAGTATTATTCCCTCTAGTATCTACCAATACCATTTTTACTGGTTCAACAGCCCTGTGGATTACGAGGGTTATTATCTTCATTGACTAAAAGTAAAACCAACCTCTTCCTTCTAATACTCCTGGAAACCTTTGTAAGCTTTATTTTCTAATATGAATATACCTGATTAAATCGGATGACATCTTATTAAACTGAAATGTTTATAAGTGCTTCAGAAAGCTAAGGGCATGTCTAAATTTAATAAATTACTAAATTTATCAAGAAATTACTAAATTTGTTAAGAAAACTTAATTCATATAAAATTCCAGAAAATCTTACCTTGAAAAGACTGTTTAGCTCTATCTACTAGTTCATCAATCGGATAACTGGCCAAATTTCCTCTGGCATGTTTAGTTTTGCAGTAGGTACAAGCGTTGAGACACCTGTTCAAATGATAGCAATAAATAAAGTTCAAATTTTTGAAAGACAGTGCACACTTAACATGAAAAAAAAAAAAAACCGAAAGCATATACTGAAGTTATTTTAATAACATCTGCCTGCTTATATAAAAAAAACAATCATCTACCATGTCTCAATTTTATTTTCAACCAGGCACAGAAATTTGCAATTTGCAATTCTTTTAGGTTTCAATTATTTGAGAATGGTATAGCAAACCACACGATGTTTTCAAATGCCCATATCCATCAGGAGAAAAGTTTAAAATGTTTACAATGATTAATCAGGTAATCATTTTTGTTTAAACCACTAACATTACTTTCACCATCAAAAAACTAAAGTTATTTTAGTATTGCTTATATGTATTGTATTATTCAGAAATGATAAAGCATGTAAACATTAACTTTTAAGATAGACGAATAAGTAGGCAACATAGCATTCTCATGAGAAAGAACATCCTTAAAATTTTTCAGATATTTTCATTCCTTAAATTCAGAAAAAAAAAATACTAAAATTATGTCTAATGAATGCTTTCCAGGATTATGTTAGTCAAAGTTAAAACATACAGCAATAACATTACCTTTAAAAATACCAAATTAAAAATATGATGAAATTCTGCCATTTGCAACAACACAGATGGACCTAAAGGTATCATCCTAGTGAAACAAGTGAATCAAAGAATGGCAAACACTGCAAGATTTCACTTATATATAGTAGGTAAAGAATAAAACAAATGAATGAAACAAAATAAACTCTTAGATTATAAGAACAAAATAGTGGTTACTGGAAGAGAAAAGAGAAGAGAGGGTAAATCAGGTGACATGAAAATCAAAACTGTAATAAGAAATCACTCCTATTTCCAGGAACAGCTATTATTAGAAAGACTAGAGTTAACAAGTGCTGGCAGGAATGTGGAAAACATGGAACCTTGTACATAACTGGTGGAAATGTAAACTGGTGGAGTTATAATGAAAAACAGTATGGAGTGCCCCAAAATGTTAAAAATATGATACAAAAAAATCTACTTCTCTGTATCTATCCAAAGGAGAAGAAATCACTAGGTTGAAGAGATATCTGCACCTCTATGGTCAAGACATGGAAATAGTCAAGACATGGAAAAATATATATTCACATAGGTATATGTATGTGCATAGGTATATACATGTGTATGTATGTATAGAAACGGATGAATACTATTCAGCCATAAAAAAGGAAATCCTGCAATTTACAACATGAAACTTATAATCATGCTAAATGAAATTTCAGACAAAGACAAATACTGTATGATCTCACTTTCAAGTGTTATCTTAAAAAAGTAGACTTACAAAAACAGAAAACAGATTGGTAACTGCCAGAAGCAGGGACATGTGGTTATGGTATGAGCAAAAAGGGTTGAAGGTGGTCACAAGGGACAACATTCCAGTTGCAAAATAAGTCATGAGGATACAATATACAGCATGGTGACTACAATAAATAAATAATACAGTCATTGGTATTTGAAAGTTGCTAAGAGAGTAGTTCTTAGCAAGTTCTCATCATGAGAAAAAATTATAAAACATCCCTCAATAAGTTACCAGCCACGCTGAGACCATTATGCAATATATGCAAATATCAGTTCATTAAGTTGTACACCTGAAAATAATGTATCAGATATATCTTGGAAAAAACTGAGAATAAGAAAGTCAAAAAGTACCTTGCACAAGACACATAAAAACAAGATAAAAATCTAGGCCTGCCAAATTTCAAAACTCCCTGCTGTTTCCACACCAAACTACAGCCATATAACAAATGTCAAACAATACACATACTAATGCAAATAACAAGGGAAAATTATTCACCATAAGATACAAAGAGAATTCCATTCAAAGACATAGTGATTACTCATCATCTGTTACATGAAGATAATACTTGTTTAAAACATGTTTGTCTCCTATTCTTTGGAAATCTAAGACAAGGCTTCTAGTTCATCTACTGGCCCAAACCAATCATTCCATTCTTGTTGTTTACAAGTTCTGTTGATCGTCCTCCTTCTGGCTCTCTACAAAATGTATAACCTCATGTGATGTGCTTTTAAAAGTCTACTGCATAAGTTCTCAAAGCTCATTGCTCTTTCTACCCTTCACCTCAACTAGCTCCAAGATCCACTCGACAAAGCAGACCCCTCCATTCATTTCCTTGTGACCTCCCCCTTATGATTGGTATCCACTCAAGACAACTCAGTACCTTTCCGGGGAAACTTGTTCTCTCTACCCACAGACACTACTTTAAGTTCTAACTCCTTTCTTTTATTGCTCTTATTAGCAATGGAGCATTCTATAAATTGAGTGGACCATCTTAACAGAAGCTATTAATACTTCAGACTTGGACTGTATCAGAAACATAACTTATGAGGCATGAATCTGGAGATGGAGGAGGAAAAAAATAAGAAAAGAAGGGAAACATGTGTTATAAAAATTTATAAATTAATCCATATGAAGCACTGAAAATAGTGCCTGTACCTGCTAAGTCTAAGTGTTGACCACTGGTTGTTCAATGTGACCATCTAACAATTCCTTAAGAAAATAACTAGGCATTATAATGTCCCATGTGTTTTTAGCTTTAGGGTACAGATCGGTTTACTTAAATCAACTGTGGAGACCAATCATATGATCCTAAAGCTCATTTTAAAAAGGTAGAAATATTTCCCTGATCATGCTCAGCGAAATAAGTCAGAAAGAAAAAGAAAAATACCGGATGGTCTCACTCATAGCAGGAATTTAGAAAACTTAAATAAGGGATCAGGAAAAAGACTGATTAATACAAAGTAAAAATCAAAATCAACAAGTAACTATAAACCAGAGACACACTGGGGTGAGGGAGGGGAGAAGGGGAGAGGAAGCACTAGAGTCAAAATAAGGCGGGTGCAACTGTATGGGGAATATAACCAAAATGAAAATGCATACCTAGTGCAAAAATGAAAAACGATGTAAGAATTATATAAAATAAAATGTTAATTTAAAAAAAGGTAGAAATATATTTCTGATGAAAAATCACTCATGAAAACATTTAAATAAAGCAAGGTGATACTTAGAAACATTCATAAACCAACAGTGTAAATATTACATTAAGAATTGAAAGCACTTTTCACTAAACTGTTCCCCTGGGGCTAATTAGGGATCTAAACTCTTTATTGTAAATGAGGGGCTCATCCTAATCTGAAAACTTCTTTAGAGTGTATTTTTAAGCATACTATAACAGCACGAACTCTAACATTAAACCTGTTATTTCTTACTTTTTTTTAAAAAGAAAATTTGTTATAATACACAGGGAGCAAAATACAAAATTAGAAATGACAGAATGTTTTGGTGTTATTTGGTTTAAAAAAAAAATTTCTCAATATCAGGCATTATGATGATCAATGATTCTTATCAAATATCCTGCTATTAAAATAAAAAAAGCAAGAAAGAGAGGTAGGGGGAGGGAGAGTCACAGAAATCTTTCAAATAGTTTCAATTATCTGCAAACAATAAAACAATTGTCTAAGAGTGAGTACACTCAGCCAGTGTTTTCCACTGTCAGAAAAGACCGCATCTTGGAAGACTGACTGTTGAAAGACAAAACCAAAAAGAAATTGCTGTTGAACAGTAAGAAGATGAAAAATCCTGAATGACCTGGGCAGTTCTGCTAGAAGCATACAGCTAGTGCCCCAGCCACACCTACTAGTCTTTGCATAGGTCCTTACCTGACTACAGGCCAAGAAATAACTAAAAACCTCAAAGCAGAGGCAGCTTAGTTATTTCATTTAGCAGTGTATTTCATTTAGCAGTATAATTCTGGTTATTTCATTTAGCAGTATAATTTTGGTCCTAAAAGGCATTTGTGGCAGAATATTTTTAAGGTATAGAAACTAAATAACTAGAACAATGAATTTTCAAAAATTAATATATTTCCAAGGACTCAGAAACATAATAACATGTCAATTTAATATCTGAACCACAAAAAGTAAATGAAAACCTAAAAATTTTAACATATTCAGGCTTTTCTTTTTAGATATAAGTTCTGGAATAATTTAATAATCACTTATAATTTAAAAAATTCACCCTTACTGGTATCTTTTGTGGGGCAGGAAGAAAAGTTTTTGCAACTCAAGGGTTTGCTTTACCTCTACTTAGGGGTCAAAGCAAATTTAAATATATGAAAGCTATTATGTATTTAAACATTAACAACTTCACACTAGCAAATTCCATGCCACTTACATAATTTAATCGCTATTTATTTTTAATCAATAGACAAAGTTTCAGGGTTTCTTAACTGAATTTTTTTTTGAGGTAATGTTGGTTTATAACTCTGTATATGTTTTAAGTGTTACAGTTCATGCATCTTCAGATATTGCTCCCTTCCCTCTGACCTCCCCCTCTAGTGGCCTCAATTTTGTTTTCAGATTTTTAGGACTGATTTTAGTTCAGTTTTGTCTGTTCTTTTCCCTTGTTTCTTTATACTCTGTATGAGTGAACACAACCAGCATTTTGTCTTTTTCCTTCTGACTTGCTTTTGCTGAAAATCTTCAAGTTTTACACAACAAAGCAAAAACAGACAATTATAAACCAGAGACATCCTGCAGTGGAGCAGGAGGGAGAGGGATCAGAGGGAGGGACAGGGGACCCTGCTGATGAAGCACGGGTGCATCTGTGAAGGAAATTCTATTGGGACTACACCTGGGGGTGGGGAGAAGCAAATATTGTTTAAAAATGAACAATGTAAAAAATAAATAATAAAATTAATGTGATTAAAAAAAATCTTCCAGTTTGATAAAGTAATACGGCCTTCACAGTGACAACTCTTGGCAAAAGCATACACTGTCTAGCCACATTGTTCCATAATGAAGCTTCAAGAAACAAGAAAACAAAAATTCAGGAAACAAAATGTTCATACAGAGTAAGTTGTGCCAGTTGACTGTTAAATATAGCCTATTGTGAACACTCATCATGATTTTACCAAGTATTTCCAG